GGTATTGCTTTAACTGATTCTTCAATTAAACCGTATCCTGGTGTAATGCATTTATCCTCTAAAACTTCCATCTTTGTGCATGAAATAATAACACATCAACTGTTGCGTCAGCAGATGTAGCGGCTAAGCTTGTAATTAATTTGGCAGGAAGTCCGATTTGTTGGAATTTGCGATCATATTTATAAACATGATTCATAATCTTTTCATAATTTTCATCAGTTATCTTTTCATAAACGTAATTTTGTAAATCAGCAACTCTTAACGGGTCAACCTGACAAAATACTAAAGTATCCCTGAAAACATAATATTTAAGAATGATTTCACCAAATGATTTAGGATAATCATCGAACGCCTGAAATGCTAACAAATCATTTACCGGAATAATCATATCAAAAGTGATATCAACTTCTTCATTTGCTTTCTTGAAAACTTCTGAAGGGTCAATATATTTACCACATACTGAGTTATCATATTTTTGAACATTATTATATAACGAATGAACAAACTTTTTAACTTTCCTTTCTGATTTTGGTTTATATGTTGCAAATGCGAAAGATTCACGGGCGCAATCCATCTGAAGATAACCGGCATCACCTCTTTCGGTTTCTACTTCTAATTGTTTAAAGCTTTGATTTGATGATTTGTAACCAACGAATAAACGCATGCATTTAAAAGCGGCATCACATGTGAAAGCTTTATTTGAAACTAGAGTTGCTTTAACTTTGCGTTTAATATATGTGTCACCTAATTGGTTCACATCATGAGCTGGATTTGTAATTCTTAAATGAGTTTGTTTATCATCAAAATATGGAGCATCAGAGTCATAGCATGAACTTTCAAGTTCTCTATAATATCTTCTACCATCATTCTTTGCGAATATTTCATTTATCTTTTCGAATGAATGAAATACATTTCCATTAATTGGTTTAGTGTTTGGCACCAAATAGTTAGTCGTCATTTATTAATAAATAAAAAAATCATAATTAAAAGATGAAAAAGAATTTTTAATTTTAATGAAATAATCAACTATGGCTGCAGGATTCTTTAAGAAACTGTGGGATAAAGTAAAAAGAGGAGCGCATAAAGTTTGGGAAACATTGAAGAAGGGAGCAAATTGGATATTTAAGAATAAAGAAGCAATTAGTGACATTGCTGAATCAATAACACCAAAAGCCGCCCCAATAAGAGAAATTTTAAATAAAGGAGAAAAAGTTTATCAAAGATTACAACCAATACTAAGATAAAAATAATATTTATTTATTTTTCCACTATCTACCTCCTATTTTATTAAGTATTCCTTCAGCTATTCCACCAATTGCGTTACCTGCTTGTGCTCCCATTGCCGGATTACCTGCTTTAGTACCTAATACTCCACCTATGATAGTTCCTGCCGTTTTCGCTACTGGTGCCAAAAAGTTTGCAACAGGTTTAATAATCTTTTGATGAACCCAACTTGCAGCTTTCTTAATTCCTTCCCATAATTTTTTAAAGAATCCTGCCGCCATTTCTGATTTAATATTAATTAAAAAATATATTTCATCACTTATATTCTAATTTTTATTTAATGATAAATGAAACCGATTTTAAAAATAAATGAAACAAAGGAGGATGAAATAAATGAAAGTGGAAATGTCCAACAAAAAATAAACGTTGTTAAACCAATTACTGAAATAAAAATTTTTTCATCTGTTGAAGAATTTAATGACTATTATGCTAATAATAAAAAATTATTTGAAGAATTGACAACATGTAAATTGAATAAAATGTTTAAAGTTGATGGATTCAAAATTTCAAAAATAAAAGGAGTGGTTAGTTTGAAATCTATTCCTCAATCAAGAATCACCTCATTAATGAAAATAGATGATTTAACAAAAAGAATAGAAATTATTGAAGAGCGAATAAATCAAATTATTGATTTCATAAATCATGACTCGTTGAGCCCGGGTCCTTAAAGCCCATCACTGAGTTCAAGGTTATATTCATCAAATATTTCATTATTAAATGCAACTTCTGCTAGTTTATTTATTTTTTCAATACGATCATTTGAAAGTCTATCGTTTAATTTTTTCTGAAGTTTTTCATTTTCTAGTTCTGAAACTTTATTTGGATGATATTTAAACCCGTTAAATTCTTTTTCCCCAGTTTTGATCATTAATTTACAAAGAACTTTTGTGGTTGGAATTCGTTTAAACCATTTATCATTAATATTTGTTATAAATTCAATATTCGGAATTAATTCCCAAATTTTTGCATTTTGGCGCGGTTCAATTTTAACGACATTTTTTAACGCGATACGAGCGTAAGTCCATAGAATGTGTTTTGAGGGAAACTATAAAAATCCAAAATAGAGGTAAGTGCGCCATTATTACCTGCGAAGTTACATGGAATAAATCGAAGAGTAAGTACAAGATGATCTTGCATCTTTCCAAGTAAATGAAATTTATTAAAATTAAGAAGATAATATTCATTTATAGTATGTGTATGATGTTTTTTCAAAATTTCTTCAAATAAAATGCAATGATAATTTTTGAATAATTTTTTTTGTGTATATTTCATTTTTTATTAGTGAAAATATCATTACATCAATAAGGAAAGCACAATCCAAATTCATATTAGTTAAATTAATATACGACCAAAAGTGCTTACTCTTAAACAACCGTCGGATTTCCGGGTGAAATCGTGACACACTTTCGTCTTTCGTAGGCAGTGGTGGTTGTTACAAAAGGTAACTTCGAATGTAGCGTGAAATCTGCAAAAAAATTCTGAAATTTGAATGGAGAACACAAAAATTGAATAGTTTACGTCAATAAAAAAGAAAAATGAAGCCAATGTGTCTCGAACCTAGGACTTAGAGCAGCAATCCCATTGTTTATCCCATTACACTAGATGCGTCTCTCACCTCAGTGAATGAGATCAACTATAGCAACTTGTGGAAAAGTGACAAATAGCAACTTTGACCCTCTCTCTGCATTTTATTTGAAGAAATTTTGAAAAACATCATACACATACTATAAAATGAATATTATCATCTTAATTTTAATAAATTTCATTTACTTGGAAAGATGCAAGATCATCTTGTACTTACTCTTCGATTTATTCCATGTAACTTCGCAGGTAATAATGGCGCACTTACCTCTATTTTGGATTTTTATAGTTTCCCTCAAAACACATTCTATGGACTTACGCTCGTATCGCGTTAAAAAATGTCGTTAAAATTGCCCACACGCTTCTACATAATCATCGAAATAAACATCTACTTGTTTAACATTTTCAAGAATTGGTGAAAGAGCATCCATTAATTGATTGACGGTTACGAATCTTGATCCACTCATTTTCTTACGAAATAAAAAAATAAATTATTCAAAAATGTAAGACATGAATTTTTAAAGTTTATTTTTTACTCATGAAAATAATTATTTCTAATTTCTTTTACTCTCTCGTATATACTAGATTTAAAGAATTCAGAACATTTCCCATAATCTCCTAAATGTTTTCTTATCCCTAACGTGTGCCAGTTATTATATGAAACTGAATAAACTTTATCTTTATCTTTGCATCTTTCATCACTTCCAATATATTTATATCTCAGTTTTGATTTAGCATTTTCATATTCATTAGCGTTTAATAATTCACAGTCTTCCTTTTTAAATTGATGTTTAAGATATTCAGGATTTAATACTCTACGTTTATATGCTCCTAACTTAGTTCTAAAGGTTTTTCTACAAAATTTAGGAATTCCTTCCTCTTTAATGCCATCAATGATTTCCATTTCATTATTTTCAATTTCTTCTTCTCGTTTATGAGGTCTTTGATTATGACTCCATTGATTCCATGAAATTAAATATTCTTTATCATTATATTTATACCTCATTAGCTTATTTTGGCTTTCATATTCATTTAATAATTCACAATCTTCATTTTTAAATTGAAGTTTAACCCATTCAGGATTTAAACAATGTTTAATTAATCGCGGAATATCTGACATCATCTATATATAGCTTCTTTTATAAAAGATAAAAAATTAAATTATGTTTAAAATTAATGTTAATTTTTTTTAATGGTTTATAAATATTTATTACTAATTTATTTAATAATGTCGCGCTTTCTTACGAATTCATGACTTAAAAAACGTAAGAAAAAATTTTATATCATCTATATATAGAAGATGTGAAAATATACCTTCATCTATATATAGACGTAACAAAAAAAGTCACACAACCCTTCCACATATACTACTGAGATTTTAGTCTTCAAAGTCATTCTCCATTTATTTGATTGTATTGATATATTTTGTGAAAAGTTATATTCGCATGACTATAAATCAGAATAGGGAAATTTAAGAAGATTTCAATCACAAATTTATATGAGTGAATATCATAGCTGTATGCGCGAAATAGCATTGCAATATTTATAATTGGATGATTCAATAGGTATTTTTACATATATATGCATTTTTAAAAAGAATGAAACATTTTTTCAGTTGTAAATATATTTGAGATAAATATTCCTGTAGTGTTTAGCCATGTGGTGAGTAATTAAATATTTATTGCGATGCGTAGACCGATATTTGAATTTTCATAAGGTTTTTTGAGAGAGATAAAATTACCAGGATGGCTAACGGATTGATAAAAAATATCACACATATGTTAATTAATAAAAATACAATATTTCCAATTCTAAAATCTCTTATCAAATGATTATTTTTTGTGAGTTCTATCAAAATTCACACAAAAATATAATTAATCCATTGAAACCAGTCATACTAATTTCATATAAAAATTATTCCAGATAGTTATCTTGTACTATTTATGAGAAAATTAAAAATAAAAAAGTACGTAAAATTCGATTGAATATATTCATTGAATTGATTTTCTGATATCAAATTCAATATAATAAAAATCTGAAATTAGAAAGATACATGAGATAATATTTAATTAACATAAAAAACAAAGATAAATATGAATTGAAATTCAACTTAAACTTGTTTTTGAGAGAAAATATTAATGATAATTCAAAAGCTGGGTGAGGTCTGATGGATCAAAGTGTTGTACATCCATATTGTGCATTAAGTATCTAGATTCGATTTGAATCTCGGATGAATTTGTAAAATTCTGAATCTTGCACTTTGGGAGATAAATAGCTATATCATTGAGATGTGGAAAAACTGTATCCCAGTTTTCTGAATACCAGCAAAGAAGGGCATCACGATTTCTTTTTGCCAATCTGTCTAGCTTGATGCAATATTTGTTTGACATTTCTGCAGCAAAAGCCAATAATGGGGCCGTTGTGACATGAAGTCCAAATTTCCTGTCAATGTATTCAGAAACAAAATCAATTTTAATTCCGTTGTTATGGACTCTTTCTGTGATCATATCATGATCTCTTAAGTTTCGATCGGACTTGGAGTTGATCTTGCGAACCTTTCTTGAAGAGATGATCTCCTGGACGTAATCTATCATAATGAAAAATGATTTGATTGAAAATTAACTTAACATGATTTTGTTAATTTTTTTATTTTAAATAAATGGTAAATAGGTTATAGAGACTTTTTTCATCTCCGATATTCAATATAATTTTGTGAAATCATTCAAAACTTGTATTCAATTTGGATGTTCGAACATATAAAATTTATTTAGGAATTTTTCATTCATATACTATTTCCTGTATTTTCGTTTTATGAATAATTTTGTGAGAACATATTCAATTGAAAAGAATTTTATGCTTATTTGCTGTAATTATCATGTTTCTACATATGCATTCATAATTGAAATTTGTTTACTATTCAAATTTTTCAATAAATGTTTTGATAGAAATAATGATTTTGAGGAAATGAAGGATTGTCGAAAATCAATATAGAATGTTAAAAATTTTATAGATCGAAATAAAACACGTCGGTATGCAAAAGTGCTACGGGCTATTTACAACGGAAAGTCTCCGCTAATATTTTGTTAAGGATATATTGAAGAATCTAAAAACCCTATTTGTTTTCCAAAAAAAGACTCAGAAATTAGGAAAGATTTTCAGAGCAGAAAAAATATTTAAACATTTCTCAGAAGCCTATCTTATAAGAAATTGAATCAAGAAAATCGATTTAAGTTAAATTTTTAAAAAATTCAAATGTTTTCAATGTTTTGTATAAGATGAGATTTAATATGATGTTGTTTAATTATGTCCATACTAATTGTATTTCGAATTTCATATTTCAATAATGCAGCTCTCTCAAAAGTAACAAATTTAGGTTGCAAAACAATTATTATTAGAGAAATGTATATAATTGGTATATATTATAGATCTAATTCCTGTCTGACTTGGTTTTACATGATATGTTCATCAATCAAAATCAACCATGTTGCAAACCATCATAACAACTTTTACAAAGCTAGCTATATAAATTCCATATGGCCACATTCGAATTTTTTATTGTATTAAATCAATTACTTCGTTTAACATCTAAATTCAATCAAATAAATATTTTAATTTTACGTTTTGATTATTTTGCTATCATGTGACTATACAGATTATGTAAATGTGTTTTTCCCTATTATAATGCGCAAATGCTATAAATTTATAATATCCATATTTTAAAATAGCAAATTATCATTCACTGATCAGCTTTGATAGAAAATAAATTACTTTCATTGTTATTATAGAACTTCAATAAGAATTTAAACATCCATTGAATATTGGATGGATGAATCTGATTTTTACATTCCAAACTCATTAAGGTAGCATAACTAATTAATTGAATGATTTCGAAAGATTGATTTTTCGATTTTGATATTTTTAATATTCATTCCGTGTTTTAATACAATTTATCTCAATTTTTCTATGTAAAAGTAATAATTTTAAAATGAGGCATAACGTCAATGATTGTTGAAAATAATTGTAAGGTTTACTAACGAATTTTGCGAAATTAAAATATTATATTTCTCGATCAGAGGTGAGGAAAATACATGTGGAGAATTTGCAGATTCAAAAAAGTACTCTCAAAAATATCATGGAAGAAGAAAATGAAGGACCTGTAAAGATTCCAATCCTTCTGACAAGCTCAGCCGTTATGCAAGGACCTGGCCCAGGTGCCTATGATACCAGAGGTAGTATTGATAGAATAGCTCCAATTAAAATCAAAGGCAGATACCAAGAAAAAGTTGATTCTAGTGCGCCACCATATGTGATGTTACCTTCTACAATCGGATCTGGAAGAAAATGTGTTTTTTCTGGTCGTCCAAAAGATTCGGCAATAGAATCATCCCCAGGTCCCTGTTATGCACCACCAGCTTTTGGATCAGATGTCCCAGGTTGCAAGATTGCTCACAGGACTGAAGATTCTAAGAGAGAAATTACTCCAGGTCCTGGTGAGTACGATACAACCCGTAGAGAAAAGATCAAAGGAGGATCATTCCACGGCCCTCATGAGAGATCACTTGCCGTCACATCAACATCTCCAGGACCAGGAGCTTATGCAGTTAAAACAGATTACATGTTTCATTCACCAAGAATGCCTATAGGAACACGCCATTACGATAGAGCTACAAGTGACAGTCCAGGACCTGGTGAGTACGATACAAGAATATCAGCGATTAAAGCAAAGAAATATGGTGGCTACATTGGAAATAGAACAGAAATAAGATCGACAGAAACTACACCATGACCATCTTATTACGCAACCAATACAGATATATTGAAATCTATCTCAAAGCTGCATATTTCAGGCCGCCCTAAAGTTAAAGATTACACATCATCACCTGGACCATATAATACGCCATCTACATTTGGAAGCGGACCAAAATACTCAATGCGTTCACGACCACGTGATTCTACTGCTGATGTAACGCCAGGAGTCAACTATTGTCCACCAGATTTCGGCAAGGATACTCCCGGAGCTCATATCACTGGAAGATATGAAAAGAGGTTAGGTAATGATGTCACACCAGGACCTTCTGATTATGCTACAAATACTTCTTTAGTTAATTTAAAGAAGGCATCTGTTTTTCATGGTGTTTCTGATAGATCAATGGCTGTTAGAAACAATTCTCCAGGTCCGGCTGCTTATTCTCCAAGAATGCCAAATTCTTCTCCAAGAATTCGTATAAAAGGATCAAGTACAAGAGAATCTATTCAGCAAACAGGTGAATATGTCGCTCTCAAGAGTACTTTGACTGGCCCTAAGTACACAATCTCTCCAAGAACAAATCTTTTAATGTCTTACGGATAATTTATTATGTAAAAATATATGTCTTTTTTTCGGATTTATCTACATAATGCATACAAACAATAGATTTTTATTTACATGGATAAAAGAAAATATACGGGACGATATCATAAAATTCGGACGTAATATTAGGAAAATCGTAGAGTAATAGCTAAGTATGTTTGATACTAATAAGCGTTTGATTTGAATTTGCAGGATTATTTGGAGATTTTCATGCAAAGTTCTTTGATCTTATTATTAAGCTCAAGGAGGTAATCTTGTTTAACAGCACAGAGATTTTCGAGTCTTTCTCGCTCTTTTTGGTACAATTGGATGCGCAATTCTAATTTTGCTTCCGTATCATCTTGAAAAGATGAATTTAAATCTGAATCTTGTTTGGCTTGAAGAACTCGTTTGTCTGACTCGATTAGGGCAGTTAATTTTTTTGCTTTTTCTGTAAGATCATTGAGTCGATAATTTCCTGTATTTATTGCAATTTGTAAGTTATGTCTAGTATTTTGCAAATGCTCCATTCTATCTTCATAAATTTTAATATTATCTAGTACATTTTTTTCATTTCGTTTCAATTCATTCGTCTTCTTTTCAATAGCTTCGGCTTTAAGTCTATAATATTCTTTCAGTTCATCGCAAGCAAGAGCAATAAGATTTTTAAATTCCGTTGGTGAATGAGAAATCCTTTCAAGTATCTCAAATCCAGTTGGATCACCATCTTCGATCAGCTCTTGTAGTTTTTTTCGATCAATATTTGCTTTTCCATTTAATAGTGCTTTTCTTCGCTTGGTCATGGGTTGAATCGTATATTCTAACTGTGGAGGAGGTTCAACATACAAAGTTGTCTTTGCACGCGTTATTGGTTTTTTTAGGTAAAGTCCAGTGTTATCTAAGCGAGTTGTTCTTGAAGTCATTGACAATTTTTTGGAAGATTAAATTAGAAATTCAATGAATATCAAAGTTGATTTTTGGTAAATTTTGGATTTTTACATGGATTTTTGAAAAATTTATTATTTGATAGATAAAAAAATTAATTCATTAGTTATCAAACAATAAATTATATATAATTGATAAAAATCTATAATTCTATTGATTTATTATTGTAAAATAATAATTAGATCTTGAGTTAATTAAGTTTTAAATTCTAAATTTTCCAAATTTTTCTTATGTTATCAAAAATATTTATTCAAATTGTTGATTTGATTTTCATTTTTTCAATTTCAAAAAAAATTTGGAGAAATGGGGAGTTACAGAACGAGAATAGGAACGTTGATACTTCGATATTGGGTTCGAAAGTCTCTAAATGTATGGTATTTGATTAGATATTAACTAACTTCGTTTTGATTTCATATTATTCCAAAACATCTTATTATACCATAAAAAAATACATATTCATCTCCTTTTCATGTTAATGAAATCGCGTTTTATCCTATTTGAAGAAACTTCCATCAATTTTTCGATTTAAATACTCTTTTATTCTTCGATATTGTTTGCATCGTAAGAATTTTTGCACACAGATAACAAACATATAATAGTCCAATAGTAAAAGCTTTTTAATTTGATTATATTTCCTAGATATTGCTGCTATTTAACAAATTTCAGCCTAAACACTAAAGAAAGAGATAAACTAAAGAACTCATAATCTAATACTCTTATAAGGAAATGATAAAATCGAGGAACCAAAATCAAGTTATAATTACTTAAAGAACAAAGCCTTATACAAAAAATTTACATGCAAAAAACCATAAAACTTCGAAATAGTATTATTCTACTTTAAGATTAAATTCGGAATTAATAGTTGAAAGATGTTTGCTAATTGAGAACGAATTTCGGCCATTCGGCCCGATTGATCTTTATTCGTAATTCAGATCCTTTATCACCATAAATACAAATAACTTTTTTCATGAAATATATTTTCCGAAACATTTTTTCAGATATTTTGTGACGCTTTGCGCATAGAGTAATAGGAGTTAAAGGAGTCACTTCAACTCACGTCGAAATATTGGAAGATAATTAATTTTGGAGTTCAGTAATACAAACTTTTCGTTTCTATGATACCCAAAATTATTGTATAGATTCATTAACTTGAAAAATTTTAATAAACACATATCATAGAATAATATTACTTCAAAGATAAAGAAATTATACGGTTTATTTCTATCAAAATTTTGGGAGGATCAGATCCTCGATTAATTCATAATATATATCAATAGATCTACTTTTAGAGATCAGAAAGTGTATTTTTCTTTGAAACGATAGCCTTTCATTTTTAACTGAAAAGAGATTTTAAAAACGAAATCAATTTCGTCTTTTCTTCTTTAACTTTCTATTAATGAAATATTTTTTTTGAAAAAAAAATTTTTTTTGTAATAATTTTTTTTAATGAATTGGAATCCTCAACTCCATTATCCAAATGCAAATGGTGCCCAACTTCCCAATTTGTTTACTAGTCCTCCAGTTTATCCTCATAGCAACACCACCTTTGTAAGACCAACTTCTTTCGAAACTTCACCAAGTCCATTTGATGTCGATCAATTTCTCACAGATATTCAAAACCGCTCAGCCAGAGAAATAAACAGCGAGAGGGCCGTTTTTTCTTCGCCTATTTCAGTTCCTGCTTCACCACTTCCTTCATTTATTGACCGCGAAAACGAAAGACGAGATAACAGAACTAGATATGACTTCAACCAAGCTGTTCTTGATACAGTCATTGATACAATTTATTTAAGACTTTATCCTACTGATATTTGGGAATCGGCACGGCTAACTGCAAAACAAATCGTTGATCAGTACTTCAAACGACGATCCTCCAAGAAAATGCCGTTTCATTATAAGCTTTACAATGCTCTACAAATAACAACCCAACACCCAGAATTAGTCCCTGTATTTGGAGCTCAGTGGGTCACAGACACAGTTTTTAAGATATATCGTCTTCCGTTTGCAAATCTACTCGGCGTGGGATCGATTAATGGCGCTTTGTTTAATAAACAAGGTTCATTACCAACCCACGGCTTTTTAACTGTATTCCCTCAGACTGTATATGGAATAAATCCGAGAATGATTTCAGATGTCGATAACGACTCGGTAAGGATGTTTCGCCACGCTTCACCTTATTTCCATATAAATGCAACCGAATCAGAACTAGCAAAATGCAGATGGAAGAATCCTAGAAATTAATCAGATATTTCCCATGATTTGTTTTTCGTTTTTATTCACTCATTACTCATATTTCCCTTAGATTTTACTTCAGCTTAGAATTCATGGGATCGAAAGTATCTTACTACTCAACAGATTTACTGCAATTGGGCTTAGAGCTCGGTTCATTCAAATCTAAGAGTATTTTAATATTAATCCTTTGCAAGGGTTTTTATTCCTATTATTTTGTTATTTGTATTGTAATCTTTCTCTATCTTGTTCACTTTACATATTCAGATATGAATATATATATTATTGTAAATTTATTCTTCGGAAAAATAATCTTTCCTTTTTTTTTTATCAAATCTTGGACTTTTCGAGAATTGATACTGAAACTACATTCCAAGAAACTTCAAAATTACCTTTCGCTTTTTATTGGTTAGTAGGCCAGATTCAATTTTACATCATTTTATCATAACGTGTTTTTTTTATCCATAATCATTTTGATTGTCAATGCTTTGCAAGCAACAAATATCTTAATCAGAATAAAACCAAATTTTTGAATTTCGAAATCGGAAAAAAGTCAATATGTCTGCCTTTGAAGAACAATGAAGAATATAATTTCATCTGTAACCAAACCACCAATTCTCTCTTTCTTTTCCCCATCGGATGATTTATATGAAGAGAGAAGGTAAATTTAGAAATCTTTTCTCCAAACATCAAAATTAATTTGTGAGAAAATATCAAAGCTAATTATGAGAAGGTAGTTTTTATTCTAAATTTCTTTCATTGGCAGAGTTTGTTGAATTCCCGAGTCAAAAAAAGTTCACATCAAGAAGTAAAACGTATTTAAATATTAGTTTGTTCATTGAGGTCTTGATGTTCTTAAATAACAAAAAGTATACTCGTATAAATGATTTACAGATTTTAATTTCGAGATTTATAAGATATTTGAGCAGAATTTTCTTCGATTTTGTGGAAGCTATTATGCTTATATATATAGTTTAAATCTGAATCAATACTCATGCAATCACCAAATTCAAAATGAACATGAAAATGTGATGCGACCATATATAAAGTACTCCCGAGAATCATTTTTGCTTTTTTTCCTTGAAAATATTATTTAATTTCAGATTGCAAATAGGAAAAAGTGGGAAAGCGATATCAGGACTTTAGAGAAATTCTCTTTCGAGTAGGTGACAAAAGTGCATACTCTTAAACAACCGTCGGATTTCCGGGTGAAATCGTGACACACTTTCGTCTTTCGTAGGCAGTGGTGGTTGTTACAAAAGGTAACTTCGAATGTAGCGTGAAATCTGCAAAAAAAATTCTGAAATTTGAATGGAGAACACAAAAATTGAATAGTTTACGTCAATAAAAAAGAGAAAAATGAAGCCAATGTGTCTCGAACCTAGGACTTAGAGCAGCAATCACACTGTTTATCCCATTACACTACATGCATCTCTCACCTCAATGAATGAGATCAACTATATGATAACTTTTTCCCCATTATATTCTTGTGGAAAAGTGACAAATAGCAACTTTGACCCTCTCTCATTCTCTTTCTCTTTATATTTATCTTTGTTTTTTGAAATTCTCTTTCTCTTCATATTAATCATTATTTTATCGAATTCTCTTTCTCTTCATATTTATCATTATTTTATCGAATTCTCTTTCTTCTCAAATTTATCACTATTTTATTACATTCTCTCTCTTTTCATATTAATCATTGTTTTATAAAATTCTCTTTCTCTTCATATTTATAGATGTTTTATGTAATTCTTTCGATATTAATGAATGCCCTCTTAGTATTGCAGTCAAAATAGAATCAACAGAAATTGTCCAATTCCTAGTTGAGCATGGTGCTGATGTTAACATGAAGCTTATTCTCTCTCTCTTCATATTTATCACTGTTTCATCAAATTCTCTTTATTCTCAAATTTATCATTGTTTGATAGAATCTTCTTTCTCTTTATATTTATCATTATTTTATGAAATTCTCTTTCTATTCATATTTATCATTATTTTCTAGCATTCTCTTTCTCTTCATATTTATCATTATTTTATCTAATTCTCTTTCTCTTCATATTTATCATTATTTTATCTAATTCTCTTTCTCTTCATATTTATCATTATTTTATTACATTTTCTTTCTCTTCATATTTATCATTATTTTATATAATTCTCTTTCTCTTTATATTTATAGTTGTTTTATGCAATTATCTTTCTCTTTATATCTGTCATTGTTTAATGAAATTCTCTTTCTTTCCATATTTATCATTATTTTATAAAATTCTCTTTCTATTCATATTTATCATTATTTTATTGGGTTCTCTTTCTCTTCATATCTGTCATTGTTTAATGAAATTCTCTCAATATTAATGAATGCCCTCTTAGTATTGCTATCAAAATTAAAGCAACAAATATTATCAAATTCTTAGTTGAGCATGGTGCTGATGTTAACATGAAGCTTATTCTCTCTCTCTTCATATTTATCACTGTTTCATCAAATTCTCTTTATTCTCAAATTTATCATTGTTTGATAGAATCTTCTTTCTCTTTATATTTATCATTATTTTATGAAATTCTCTTTCTATTCATATTTATCATTATTTTCTAGCATTCTCTTTCTCTTCATATTTATCATTATTTTATATAATTCTCTTTCTCTTCATATTTATCATTATTTTATCTAATTTTCTTTCTCTTCATATTTATCATTATTTTATACAATTCTCTTTCTCTTCATATTTATCATTATTTTATTGGGTTCTCTTTCTCTTCATATCTGTCATTGTTTAATGAAATTCTCTTTCTTTCCATATTTATCATTATTTTATAAAATTCTCTTTCTATTCATATTTATCATTATTTTATTGGGTTCTCTTTCTCTTCATATCTGTCATTGTTTAATGAAATTCTCTCAATATTAATGAATGCCCTCTTAGTATTGCTATCAAAATTAAAGCAACAAATATTATCAAATTCTTAGTTGAACATGGTGCCACAAATGTCTAATAGTTCTTTTTCCAATAACATTATTCTATATTGAAAAAAAAAAGAATTAGTAATGTTAGCACTATTTACGAATAAACATTCCATAATAATTTAATGTTAATTCATTAATACACACAAATTTAAAGGTGGTTACATATTTCTGGAAATCAATTATCGTTTTTCAACATATTTCAAAAATGTACTTTCCCATCGAGACGATAATCCTAATAATTTTGTATTGTTTAATTTTGTTTTTGAGATATGTACTAGCAAGATATTTAAAATATTACCAAGTGTAAAACAATGGGAATATAGAGAATATTTAATGGACCGCTGCACCGATAAGTAAACTAAATGAGCCTAAATTTAAAAGTGAAAAAATTTTAAAAATAGACCTCTCAATTTTTTACCAAATTAAACAAATGCATGCAGTTGGATATAAAACAGAGCAAATAACCAATACTGTTATCGCAGCATATATCATCAAACTTTTAAGTTGTGTTTTCGAAATATCTCAGTGCTTATCTTTGATATTTGTATATATAACCAAAAGATCAACATCATTATACACAATAAAATGGTTGTTTAAAGATTAATTGATTAGAAGTAGATGCTTATCCAGTTTTGCACATATTCATGCAGGGTCTATCATAGGTACCCTGCACCTATACATGCTTAACTGGAAAAGGACTTACTTTTGTTCTTCGATGCGAATTGATCAAATGTGTGTAATTCATATATGTTCCACATATTGAAATTACACTTCGTTGATATTTAACATATAAGCCTTTAAATATTAAGCCGATAATGAATAAATTACAAATTTAAAGGCTGTTTACGAATCTACTCTAATATGAAATGTTCAATTTTGTGTTTATTGATCTAAAACAAGCATATCATGCTATTTTAAGCCCAATTTAGATGAATAAAGTTTGGTGATCTATAGTGTGAAGACACAAACTTACAGCATTTCTTTATGCCAAAAATCAATTTTGATATAATATAATTTAGGGCCTCAGGTGGCTACGCTTGCCATTCGGGTAAGTATGCCATCTTCGGCAAAATAAATATATAAATATTTTGATTATATGATATGAATTCATTCAAACTATGAAGTTTATTTGGAGAATTATATGGTCATATGCTCGGAAAAGCATATGTAATGAATTCCGATTCTTAATATATTCTAATAACTAAACAATAAGTTTTCTGTGAGTTTGGATGATAATTAAATAATAAATAATTTGAAAAATTGAAATTTTTGCTATTTGGTTGGGGCTTGTGAAGAACACTAATATATGCTTACTTAAAATATGATTAAAATTTCTGAACGAAAACTATCAAAAATAAGTCATAAAAAATATAAAAATAAGAATCTGATTTATTGTAGATTAATAATCCGCAAGGTCTTCGTAACATCCATGATATATATACTGTCTTAATTCTATCGGCACAAAGCTTAAAATATTATTATCATTAATCAACAACTTCGTTACTTGATTGAAACTTCACTGTAAGCTTAAAAGATATCCCAGACTGCAATTATTCGTATATTACTTCTTTTCCTCAAATTTGTATAAAACAACCGGAACTTTGACTTCTTCAGCAAAATTTCTTAGCATTTTCTCATATGATTCCCAATTTCCGCCAGCTAATCCACACCCAATTCGATATGGAAAAGCAATTGATTCAAGATTGTCAATTTTAGCGATTTCGGATAAACATGACTGAAAATATCCTTCTCTATTCTCAATAGTATCAGATTTAGTAGGTTTTCCAGCACTAAATTGGCCAATTAAATTTATAACGTATCTTTGATCGGTTCCGTTACCACAGACTATAATAGCACCTGGTATATTAGCACTATACCTTTCTCGATTTTTGTATACATTGGAATATGGAAATTTATCAAATATTTGCTTTGCCAATCCTTTTGCATACTTCGTGATACAATTGCATTGATGAACTATATACTTTTCCTTGGCTTCAGTAATATCTTCTTCCACTATTGATAGCATTTTTCCTTGAATGAATGTCACTTTTTATTCATCATAATCATCCTTGTTTTGTGGTGTCACAAAGAAATCTCGCATTCAATGAAACTACAACAACCAATTTGCTTAATATAATTTCGTTATTGTAGAATAATTTCGATTAAAACTGTTTTTGTTGATTATTGATTAAAACAAACAATACATTTTATCATCTATACTAGTTTGTGATCTTATATCTTATTTCCAGCAGTATGATTGCAATTTTTTCGATCCCGATCAATAATTTATATTCAAATTATCAATAATGACGATACAATGAATCTACACAATACGTAGATCTTATGATCGTATTTTCTCCGGTGAAAATTTTCCGCGCATTCAAAAATGTGAATTGAATAATATACGTTTTCAATTTTCATCGCAGAAATTAAAAATGGAAGGAGCTTCAATACGCGTCAATGTATACGATCTCACAAAAGTTAATTCATTATTCAGAAAATCGAAGCTTGGCGTTTATCATACAAGTGTTGTTGTTGGCGATCAATTTGAAGTTTATTATGGGTTTTATAAATCAGGATGCACAGGTGTTGACTATGCTACTACCATTAACTCATTACCTTCGAGTATGTCTGGAACTTTCTACTCAACATATGAACTTGGAAAGTCAGAATTAACAGTAGATGAATGTAGGAAAGTCGCTAGACAAATGTCATTAAGAGAAGAATGGCTTTCCAATAGATACAACATTCTAAATCATAATTGCCATGCTTTCGCATTGGAATATTGCAAAGCGATATTATGTCCTCACAAACTGTTGAATTTTCCTGCATATGTATTCAAAGGTGAAAGTGTGGGAAGTGCCCTCTATGATAACTTCCTTTCGTTATTCATTGATAAAGATCATCCACCATACTTCCTCAATAAGCAACCATACAAAAAGGAAGAGAACAGACCTCCAACAATTATTATTCAAAGTCCTACCAAACGCCTCTCAGTTTGGTAACATATATTGTTTGTAAATTATATTATTTCTATTTCTTATTTTTTTTTCCATCGAACCAGATATTAAGCAGGCTAATGAGCTTTCTATTTCATAGGATAAAAATAAATGTTATTTGGATCTTAAAAGAAATTTCGATAAGAAAAAAGTTTTCCGATACGGGGAGTCGAACCCCGATCCTGTGGATGAAAACCACATATCCTAACCGCTGAACGATATCGGATTCACATTTTTATTTCTTTTATTTTATAAATAAATAATAAATAAATATTTCTTTGAGATTTCTTTCCTAGCAAAAACATCATTTTACCTTTAACCATTTTTAGACTACTTTTAATAGTTATTTTAGATAAGAATGCATAAGCAATAATCAACTTTTCTAACACACAATTGATTTTATAGAAATTTGTCTATAACTTTTTACCCTGATCCTCTTTTTGAAAATGAGTTTTTGCTAAAGCTATTATATCTTCAGAAGTCATTGCATTTTATATATTCCAAAGCAATAAAATTATTCAATTCATTCTAAGATATTGCTTTTAGAAAAAAAAATAAAAGAAAAAGTATTGCACCGCCCGGGAATCGAACCCGGACCCCCACCTTGGCAAGGTGAAATTCTACCATTAGACCAGCGGTGCTTCACATTTTCGTTATTTTTCTGTTAATATTTAAGTATTAATTATCCCACAAATTCATCAAATTTCCTCAACTCATTAAAATTATACTTAACCTATCAGAAAACTATAAGACATAAAATTTCTTTATTCAATTCTCTATGAATATACTTTCTGATTCAATCAGAAAATGTATTAATCAAATAAAATTTCTAAATACATAACAAATAGATAATAAACAATTCAAAATCAAATATAATCACTCATTATATACAAATTATATTGTAGAAGCCAACAGATTCAGTCTTCTTCCGTGAGAAGTTTGAGATTTTCTTGTTGGAGGTGGAAACAGAGATCTTCTGTTCTGTATAGCTTCAATAGCTCTTGTCTGGTTCTCTCTTGTCTTTATAATCGATGGAAGTAGCGAAGATTTGTCTTTTTCCCATTTATCAACTAAAGCACTCATTTGGTTAGCGTGCTTTTGTTGTAGTTTTGCTCGTTCCATGCCAACATATCTATCCCAGTTCTCTCTATGTTGTTGATCTTCTATTTCTTGTAATTCTTTCGCTTGTTTGTTCAAAGCATCAGCTTCAATGAATCTCTTAGACGAAACTAATGACTTTTCTCTAAACTTAAGATTCAAATATGCTTGAGAATATTTCAAAAATTTAGGAAGCATCTTTTCATAAGTATGGTTTTCATTAAACTCATCCATTTCTTGCTTTTGTTTCTCTTCAAGACGTCTTATGGAATCTTGTTTCCGTTTTTCGAACGTATCCATGATATAATTTGCTTTATCTGTAGTTTCGTTAAATTCATCAGTAGCATCATTAAGTCTTTCGATCAAACAATCATCTTTTATCTCTCTTGTCATTATGAAATCACTTCTTTTGAGTTTTGCTTGAATTTTTCTGTCAACATCTTCACATCTTTGGGCTAAAAGATAGTCTCCTGACTTAATAGAGTCTTGCTGCATGTTTTTGACCGCTTTTCTCGCATTGTTCAGTTGATGAATTGTAAATTTGTCTAAAGATTCACCAGCAAGCATCCTTTGAGCGTGATCCATCATTTCATTATTAACTTTAAATGTTTTCGGAACAGGCGACAAAGGAACTGAAAGCCTGGAAGCTGGACAAGTCTGATACATGTTTTTGCTCAAAAGGTGACAGTTTTCCTTGAAAAAAGTGCCAAATTTCATTACATCATGATCGGAAAAGAATATTATTTCGAGATTTGGAAATAACACCAATAATATACTCCCTACCGACTAGCAATTTACAGCATTCATTTCTCTATATTTGCCAATAATTTTTTTTTTAAATTGAAGTCTCAGATATATTTTCCAGACTTTTTGATTGATTTAAGTGAAGCATCTAAAATCATGTTTGAATGCATATGCTTGCTTCTATCAGTTCAGATCCTATATATAGCGTTCCTTCGCAATATCGGTTCTCTTCATATGATTCTTTTCTAATGATCTATTTTCAACAAAAAATATCTCATAACTTCATATGTTACATATAATATTTCTCCTGGAGATGTTAACTCTTTTAACTTGTTATTGACTATGTTTTCTTATACTTCATTGCTTTCCAAGATGTTATTTTTCTGATTCCACTTTTCCGCATTTTTCTTCTCTTTTTACTTTTGTTACTCTTCAAGTCATACCGAAATATAATGCATTTCTTCTTGCATATTTTTTTTTCGAATGCCATATGGAGAGGATCGTTTGGATTTCTGTCACTGAAATGTATCTCAAAAAAATTATTTCATTCTCTATCTATTCAGTCAAGTTTTTAAATGAAGTTATATCTTAGTGATTGATTGAAATAAATCATCTTTTATTATTAGACCCCATGCAAGCAATATGTTAATCTAGATTATGTTTGGTTAGTATTTTCCTAGAATTATCCAAAATGGATAGGGGAATTTAAATTCCTTTTTCCATAATTTTAATTTTGATTAAAAGAGGATCACCATGAGTAAATATATTGTTACTTATTAGGAATGATATATGACATATCTATCATTCCTTTGTTTACTGTTAAACATAATTACTCCATCATAATTTCAAATAGTCCACGACTTTTCAAAATTTTGAAAAGTTCACAATTATTTTTCAGATGGCTTTCTGCCAACAAAATCTATATATCAGGTACTGCTGACATCTAATTAACATCGTCAATTGATCGAAATTAATAGATTTGCATATATTTCTAGCATATTTTGGATTAGATTTTGAGTTGCATCCCAATATTCACCAATTACTATCTGTCTAAAGATAAAATAGAGGCAAAAAGGACAATATAAGTTACATTTCTCTGTATTTTTGCATAAATCGCTCAAACAAAATGTAAACATATGATGAAAGCATCATTTCTTTCATTTTAAAATCTTCTGTTGCAATCATATAACGGGTGTGCAGAGACGATGAAAAAAAATGATTTCTATCAATTTTTATATGCAATTTCAATCATTCGATGGTGAGGGCAATCCATCATTTATGCGTCGTCATTATCTAATAGGTTACATCTGGGGCTTAGTATCAACAATTCTTTTCATAGTAACATTGATTATCTTGATTTCAAAATGTTCATCTGGAAAATATTACTCAACAAAAGTCCCATCTAAATCTATAATACCTATCAAACAGTCCATTAATGATACTATCACAGGTGCAGCTGCACATAATGGCAAAGAGAATCATATTCCTTCGAAATACTTTACAGAATTCGATTTTTATAATGCCAAACCGACAAAAACACTCAAAATTCTTGAAAACTTCCAAACATACCAGCAGACTACCGAATACTCATGCGGACCTGCTGCAGCTTTGATGGCTCTTAATTATTTAGGAATTACAAACGTATCGGAGAGGCAGCTTTCAGACTCGATGTTCACCGGATACCCATGGAGATTGAACAATTTCAGTAAACTCGGCACAACTACAACAGATATGGCCAGAGTTTTAGGAACCTTCAATGTTAACGTCGAAACAAATGCAGGAGCTGTTGAACCACCATGGTCCGATGAAATAGAGTTTACAAAATGGATTAAAAACGCAATTGAGAACAAACAACCTGTTTTATCAAAACATGTTGACTGGGGAGGCCATTGGGAAGTAATTATCGGCTACGATGACATGGGTACAGAAAGTTTCTCTGATGACGTTCTTATTATCGCTGATCCATACGATTCTTCTGATCATCGCCAGGATGGATACACAATTTGGCCAATGGAGAGATACTATTCACTTTGGCATACTAAAATGTCTGACCAGCCTCTTGAGGAATATTACTTCCAATATGTTAAGATTTCTAAGAAATAAAAATATGAAAAGTTTATTAAATACTTAATGATTTGCTATATTTTCCTTTTTATGTCTTAATTTAATATGATAATTAAAATTCATTCAATATTGTTCTAAAATTTGAGAACTGAGCTATTACAAAGGGATGAATTATGCCTATGTATCAATATTCTTTCTAATCAAAAAAGAATATTATCAATAATTATCCTCTAAAAACCACTTTTCATAATTTAGGACACTTTGTCAAAATTTTCAATATTTTATTTTAAAATTTGAATTAAAAAACTTAAGGATGTATGGATTTCCCCAATCCACTAGGGCTGCTTGCTGTTTGGGATTCCCACTGTCCCAAATTGAAATTTTTCAATGAGTTTCAAGAAAAAAATAAAAAAAATGGGCGAAGGCAAAAAGAATTTAAAAAGGGTTATCTATAAAAGGATAATATTATGTGCAAATAAAGTAATTTTAGATATAATATCGCTTATATTAAAAATATATGAATCTGAATAAATTAGAAACTTGAAATTTTGCCTAAAAAAGTTAAATTCTATACCTGCAGTATGAATGTGTTGTAATGGTAGTAAGAATTGGCTAGCTCAAAGCAACTGCTCAAAACTTTCCCGCCAAAAACGCAAAAGTGTCATTTCTGCATGGAAGACCATAGCTGGAGTCACGCTCAACCATCCCCTTGCTGGTATGATGTGCAGCCTTTGTTCTGACCAATCATAGTGCTGCTTCATCCATACCAGCAAGTGGTTTCAGCATCAGACCTCCGCTTGGTCTTCCATAAGAGCCCTGCAAATCAGAAGCACAGTAATTATGCAGCCTAGTTGCTAGGGTATAGTAGCTAGGCCGCATAATTATTGTGCTTCTAGCGATATTAGTTATACGTTATTGCACGCATTCACTTATACTACCACTCTCTCGCTCCTAAAAAGTCAGATACTTCGTAATTACTAGAATAGGACCAAGTTCTTCCGAGGCCTCTCATTGCATGAGAGACTTCGGAAGAGCTTGGCCCTAAAGCATCTCACTACGGCTCCCTGGTCTACAAAAGGCTAAAGAAACTACAATTTGAGTAGAGTCCTTCCGAAGTCTCCCATTCAATGAGAGGCCTCGGAGGAATTCTACTCCAAGGTAATGCGCTTGTAGTTTCTGACTCTCTATTGAACGAAAAATGTAAATTTACTCGAAAAGAGCAAAAGTTCTTCCGATGCCTCTCATTGAATGAGAGACTTCGGAAGAACTTTGTTCTAGTGTAATACGTGTATATTCTTGGGTCTAGGGAGAGCGAGAGAACTGGTTTGTAATTCGTTTTTGCTGAAGTTCTCCGGATTTCTCTCAATTGATGAAGGAAATCCGGAAAACTTCAGCATGAGTTAATTGTGGTGTAACTCTCTGGGTATTTACCGGCCAGAGAGCGAGTAAAATATTAGAGAGCGCATAGTCTCAGCATAGGTATGCGCACTATAAATATACGTTATTTTTTACTTTCGTATGAAGAAATAGCTTCTCATTTTTATGCTTCTATATACTTTTTTTACTAAGTAAATCGCCTATTTTCTTATTAAAGCCTAATTTTTCCACGTGATTAAGAATCTCTACATCCCAAAAATTCGTTTTCTGCTTTCAGAACGCGAAAATATGCAGTATATCTCAAGATAAAGGGAAATCTTTCTCTTATATTTTCCAAAAAAAAACTTTTTCTAATTTTTGTCATCAAAATTGTTGTTTTTCTTATCAAATTTGCAAAATCAAGATTTTTTTTGGAGATTTTCAGCAAAACAAAACACGGTAGATAGATGTTATTTTATGATATCTATCTGATGATGATCTCTATTTTGATTTTTAGTAGAAATTCAAAAATTGTTTAACAAAATAATGATGATATCCTCTTTATCTTGAGATATACTGCATATTTTCGCGTTCTGAAAGCAGAAAACGAATTTTTGGGATGTAGAGATTCTTAATCACGTGGAAAAATTAGGCTTTAATAAGAAAATAGGCGATTTACTTAGTAAAAAAAGTATATAGAAGCATAAAAATGAGAAGCTATTTCTTCATACGAAAGTAAAAAATAACGTATATTTATAGTGCGCATACCTATGCTGAGACTATGCGCTCTCTAATATTTTACTCGCTCTCTGGCCGGTAAATACCCAGAGAGTTACACCACAATTAACTCATGCTGAAGTTTTCCGGATTTCCTCAATTGAGAGAAATCCGGAGAACTTCAGCAAAAACGAATTACAAACCAGTTCTCTCGCTCTCCCTAGACCCAAGAATATACACGTATTACACTAGAACAAAGTTCTTCCGAAGTCTCTCATTCAATGAGAGGCATCGGAAGAACTTTTGCTCTTTTCGAGTAAATTTACATTTTTCGTTCAATAGAGAGTCAGAAACTACAAGCGCATTACCTTGGAGTAGAATTCCTCCGAGGCCTCTCATTGAATGGGAGACTTCGGAAGGACTCTACTCAAATTGTAGTTTCTTTAGCCTTTTGTAGACCAGGGAGCCGTAGTGAGATGCTTTAGGGCCAAGCTCTTCCGAAGTCTCTCATGCAATGAGAGGCCTCGGAAGAACTTGGTCCTATTCTAGTAATTACGAAGTATCTGACTTTTTAGGAGCGAGAGAGTGGTAGTATAAGTGAATGCGTGCAATAACGTATAACTAATATCGCTAGAAGCACAATAATTATGCGGCCTAGCTACTATACCCTAGCAACTAGGCTGCATAATTACTGTGCTTCTGATTTGCAGGGCTCTTATGGAAGACCAAGCGGAGGTCTGATGCTGAAACCACTTGCTGGTATGGATGAAGCAGCACTATGATTGGTCAGAACAAAGGCTGCACATCATACCAGCAAGGGGATGGTTGAGCGTGACTCCAGCTATGGTCTTCCATGCAGAAATGACACTTTTGCGTTTTTGGCGGGAAAGTTTTGAGCAGTTGCTTTGAGCTAGCCAATTCTTACTACCATTACAACACATTCATACTGCAAGTATAGAATTTAACTTTTTTAGGCAAAATTTCAAGTTTCTAATTTATTCAGATTCATATATTATAATAACAAGACTTTTTTTCTTCATCATTCATGTATAATATATATGACACTATTAGATATATATTTAGAATAATATTATTATAAAAATTATGAAATTTGTTTGAAATGAGCATAAACCATGAAACAAATCATATGTTATCTATTGATCTTAATCAGAGCAAATCAACTTCTATCTTAAAATCTGCAATTTCTTGCTACTTTTTTTTCATTTCTTTTATTTTGTTTCCAAATAGCCTCACAATTGGATTAAAATATACTACTATTGAAATATATTTATAATATTCATCAATATTTCATTCGACGATTATTGGGGATTGGGATTGATCCCAGCCCACCTCTCAATTTCATTCAAAATTTGAATATGGGCTGGGCTGGGATTATCCCAAATAATCGTTATCGTTTATCTTCAAATGGCAATAATAGCTAAAAGATATAAATAGATACACTATGTGTTAAAATTAATATACCTCTCCCAAGCAATGAAGAAAAAAAAACTTGGGCTAAAAAGGGCTAAAATTTTTTTTCGGAGATTGGGACAAAGTTGCAATTCGGCACTTTTTGTAAAAAAAATGGGGTCATACTCATAATGAATAGAGACTTATAGCCAAGTCTTGATATCATGCAGGGAGAATATACATTGATAAGCAATTATATTTTATAGTAGTAGTATTCAGAAATTCTTACAATTTACAATACAATTTTCAAAAATGGATAAAGACTATAGCCAAGTCTTGATATCATGCAGGGAGAATATACATAGATAAGCAATTATATTTTATAGTAGTAGTATTCAGAAATTCTTACAATTTACAATACAATTTTCAAAAATGGATAAAGACTAATAGCCAAGTCTTGATATCATGCAGGGAGAATATACATAGATAAGCAATTATATTTTATAGTAGTAGTATTCAGAAATTCTTACAATTTACAATACAATTTTCAAAAATGGATAAAGACTAATAGCCAAGTCTTGATATCATGCAGGGAGAATATACATAGATAAGCAATTATATTTTATAGTAGTAGTATTCAGAAATTCTTACAATTTACAATACAATTTTCAAAAATGGATAAAGACTTATAGCCAAGTCTTGATATCATGCAGGGAGACTCTCTACAAATACAAAAATTGATTATCATAAGGAAATACAAATTTATCAATTTTCATGTGAAAATTACATAAATTTGTTCTCCAATAAATAGCAATAATACTTTGAATGTTATATTAAGTAATATAGCTTCAGGTAAATAAGCTTACACTTCAAAAATATACTGTTTATTCATTAATTTTAAAAAAAGTCCAAATTATCTAATCTTGCTTACTCTTCCTTTAAACTTCTTTGTGCCAAATTTAATATTGCCTTCAAAGATGGAATAAGGACATTAGGTTCAATCCTTCGGCTTTCGACAATTTCCAAAATGTGTTGAATTAATTTCAAACATTCATCGTGTTTTGAAGCTCTTTGCTCAACAATCTGATTACCTGCCCTTGTAAGAATTCTTACTGCTCTTTCTTCATTCAAAACATTAGCGACTTGAACCTTAATAATCGCATTTGGAATCACAACAGTGATGAGAGTTATGACGATGTCATCAATGCGCTCATTTTTCTTACCCAAGAAAAATGTTTGCTTTAATTGATGAAAGTGTGATTCCGCAATGTTATTCGTGGAATCACCTTCTCCACGATATAACATCATCCAATGTTCTTTGGTTCTTCTCCATTGTTTATCGAAATACTTCAAAGCGCGCGGTTCTTCTTCTTCTAACATTGTTGTCAAGAACTCATATGTTTCATCAGACTCTTCAGCCAGCTTTTCTGCATTCGTTGCATCTGCACGTAATGTCAAAAAGTCCATTGCTAAATAGAAGTTCTCAAAATTCTGTGGATTGTCAAAATAGCTTCCAACTTTTGCACATGCGCGTAAAACATGCACAGCGCACCAACTGAGCTGCGCAAGAGGAAATCCGTCCTCAATTGCGCGAGCAATGTTTAGCGCACAGTCAGCGCTCCAATGCTGTGGATCCAGGTGCGCAAACTCACAGAATTTCACCAAACATTCTTGAATTTTTTCAGATGTCTGAGGGTTCACTAAAAAATAGCAAAAAGGGAAAATTGTGTTTTGACTTGTTTTCATTGTTACTGCAAACAATTGGATCTTTCCTTTAATTAAAGAATGAGTGGAATCGACGTGGAGAGGGTTATCAATTCTATGCACCAATTCTTTTGCAGCAAAAGGTGCATATATGATTGTAAACTCGGAAAAATCTCCATTGTAATCAAATTGAACGAGATCATCTGGGCACTCTTCCTGTAAATTATTCAAAAATGCTTCCAAAGAAGTGTAAGGATCGTTTGATAATCTTTGTGCAATAATCTCATCAAGGCGATAAAATTTGTGCTTTAAAGCATCAGTAGACTGCGCGAAAAGTTTCATCGTTTCTTTGTTATTCGTATCAATTCCGAACTTATCAAAAAATGCTTTTTGAGCAAGAAATTGCTTTCCACCGTTTTTAATATAAAGTTCGATCCATTTTTGATAAAATTTACTCGCGTAATGTGAACCTATTTCAACTCCTATATGATGGCAATGTTCTTCATTAACTTTGCTTATAGTAAACACTCCATTTTGTTCTTCAACCCTAAATTTTGCCTTGCATAGGGGATACGAACATGAATAAGTGACATATTGCTTTGGAGATCCCGTTCTTCTTCTGTATGAGACACCGCCCTTGACTTCCTGTTTAATACCAAAAGCAATAAGCTCCTCTAAGTCCACCGAAATCATAAAAATGAAGTGATTTTGAAAAGAGTTAACAAAATTCAAATCACATCAAAAACAAAAACACATAAAAAATATTTTATTATACTCATTCGAAATTAAAAATAATAAAATTTATATATATTAATTTCATTAAATCAAGGTTAAAAATCTCACCGGAAAAATAACCTCAGTGTGATAAATTTATCACCGGAAAAATTTACAATAAGGTTAATACCGAAAATATCGAAAAATCAACATTTAAGGTTAATTTAAGAGTATGTACTTTTGTCACCTACTCTTTTTTTTCGTTTTACATCCTTAAAAAAACGATAAAAGACCAATATTACGAAATAATACACAATTTATTACTGCGCCACAGCATTTCTCAATCAGTTTCTCTCGATTTTCTGAAGGAGTGTGAATAATGGAAATATAAACCATGAAAAATGAATTTAATTCAAGTAATTCCAGTAGTTCTGAAGTGTGAAATCACTTACAAAAACATTTCAGTTAAGTCATGTTTAGCAAGTATATGCAAGCATTTATTCAAATTTATCTTTTTCATATTTTTCTTGATTGAATGTTACTAATTTAAAGCAATATTTATAATTTTTATAGTAATCCTCATTAAAAGGTATTACTATACAATTGGTAAAATAAATCTCAAATTATTTATGATCAACTAGCACAATTGAAATTAATCATATATTTTACAGATATATTGCAACGTTTTTATATGATAACACATGCACAATTTCTTGCACATTGCCATATTACTGTTCTTTTCATTCTGATTTTAACCACAAAAAGTGTTATTTTTTTTAATAAACACCCAGTTAAATGGGGTCACATACACTGTTGAAACAGGGAAGAATTATGCGATAGTTGGTGTCCCTGGTATCAACACGTGCAATGCTATTAATAAAAACACTTTTACATCTAGACAGATTCAACTTGAAACAACAGTTACTATTAACTCCCAGGAATATGACGTTCTTGAGATTGCACCATATGCATTCTATCAATATAAGTCATTTCAGAGCATCGTATTCCCTCAAAAATTAGTTAAAATTGGTGAAAAAGCTTTTGACCAGGGCAATCATAATATAACTGAAATTTCATTCCCTAACTCTGTTACATATCTTGGAAATTATTGTTTTGCTGTAGCAAGAATAAAAATTTTTAAAATCGGAAAGAACGTGAATTATATCGGAAATTGCATTATTGGAGCTGATCCAGTTCTAGAAAAAATCATTGTCGATAGGAACAACCCTTATTTCGCACATGATGCTCATTTTAATCTTTATTCTAAGAATTTCACAGTTCTTTATCAAATAAATGCTATTCGAGATTATTATGTTACTCTCCAAACTGTGAGATACCTGAAAACACAATCTATTGATGCTATTCCCATAAAATCCGTCACAATTACACAAGATTGTTATTTTGAAAATTATGCGATTGCTTATTGCCATCAATTGGAGATTTCTTAGTCGGATACACGACGTAGGTGGAATTCCTAAGCTTTCCATTATTATTTATTATTCACGCGATCCTGTTAACAATGAAGTTTTAGCTGAAGTTCCAATATCTAGTATTGTAGTTTATTGTTGTAATGATTACAACACTAATTTCTCTACTATTGTCCCAATTAAATCCTTTGAATGTGTTAACCCAATGGTACAATCTTGCAAAGTAAATGCTATCAAAGCTCCATTTAATACTAATGTTTTTATTGCCATGATATTAAATTAATAAAAATGCCTCTAAACCGAGCATTACATGTAAACCTAAACTATATTTGAACTTGAGAGAATAATCTGTATCTTTTATTGAAAATGTAATTTTTGAATGTAGTAGTCTTCGTTATAATGTAATGGCTTTGAAAAATGCTTACAGACAATTTATTCATTAAAATAATATATCCTTGGCAGCATAGAGCAAAAATATATGTAACCACCTGGTTTTAAAAAAACATTACGTTTTAGAATATATAAATAAATAAAAGAATATAAAATCACCTATGGCTATTTCTGTTCTCCATATTCTCTTGCTGATCTATCAGCAGGTATTTGATTATCGTCAACGAAATAAAGGAGATTATGTTAAAAAGATTTTACACAAGGCGCAAAAAACTCGCAAAAATGATTATTTAAATTGATATCGCACATATTTTGCGTATTTGAAAAATTTATGTGCTTATTGCACTTGCATGAAAACCCAAAAGATATGATGAGTATTAAATATGTTCGTATAATTCAAAGATTTACTATATCTATATTTCAAAAATTATCAAAAACAGTGATTTTTTCGCACGTAATTATTTTTATTTCGACAAAAATAATAATAATTTTTTACCTCATACTATGATCATGTTGAGACACAATATCGATCATTACCTGGTTGTTCGAAGCAATTGCAATAGACAACGGAGTTTCCTTCTTAAGGTTGACGGAATTAACATCCATGACACCAACAAAGTTCTTTACAGCTTCAATATTTCCATTCCTGACGAAGATGTGAAGAATTGTATCTCCTGCAGAGTTTTGGCAAATTGGATCAGCAGAACAATTAACTAAAGCGGCAGCTAGGACGTGATTGTTTCTTGTAGCAGCTTCAAGTATAATATTGTTACCTTGTGCAGATCTTGTCTCATTGAAGTTCGCTAAAACTCCAAAAAGAATCGCTTTTGTATCATTCTTTTTACAAAAGTCTTCGAAACAATTATAAATGGAATTGAAATCTGCCGAGTTTTTCTGGAACGCCTTCAGTTTATCCAAATTCCTATGTGAGCTTTGGAAAAGAGGCTCTGTAAGGATGGACTTTATACCACTTAATCTTCTGTCGAACAAGATTTTCTGTTTGGATAATTCGAATTCTGTTGACATCTGCAAATCAGCAACTAATTCTTGGAGTTCGTTATCCATTTTGGTTATCTTTGCAGTTAATACTTTGTTTTCGTTAACAACATCATCGTATTCTTTTCTGGCTATATAAGAAATATTTGAGGGAAGTTCTCTGTCACTTTTTCTTGGTAAATTTTGTTTGGAATTTTCGAAAAATTCACTAAGGAAAGATAAGAGCGCTGGGGAGTCACTTTCATTAAGGCCAAGCTCGCGACTCTCTTTAATGATCTTATCTACAACAGTAAGAGGTATAAAAGCTGTTTTGACGTATTTTAATAAATTAATTGATTCATTTAACTCTTTTGCGAGGTTAAGAATGAATTCGGCTAATTCCTCTTCACTGGAAATAGTAAGATTATCGCTTGTTATCATTCTTTCTGCAAATTCGAAACCTAATTTTGAAACTTCTTGTGCAAGAAAAGTTTTATCGATATTGTAGAAATTCTTGCAAACGAAATCGAGTAGTTTGTCGTGATTGCCAGTAACTCTTGAGTATTCGAAGAATTTTGGCAATGTTTCAATTGAAAGTTGCAAATTTTCTAAAGTTGAAAGATAAGGTTTAATAAGAAACTCGTTTCCTATAGCCATTCCTATGCTGTATAAATCAATACTTACGTTTGGTGATATCTCTTCGTTGATTACTTCGCCTGTGATATACTTTTCAAATAATTCATAAGATTTATCATTTAAAACCACGCAATCGAATTCTACATGGTCTGCAGATGTGTCTAAATATGATCTTTCTAACACTTTTGAACTGATAAGAGCAGCATGATGAAAATTCATTTTCCACTGTTTATTATTTATCTTGAATTAAATAACAGGGTTGTATACACTACGGAATTTAATTGAATTCATTAGTAGTGGCGATTTGTATGAGAATAATACCATTACAACAAATGTGATATTTTACCGAAAAAGTGACATTATAAATTTATTCAAAACTTTTGATCAAATTTACATCGGAAAACTTACACCAACCGGGCACGATAACCGAGGTCAAGTCGAATGCTAATCAAAAATAAGTTGTTCGAACAATTATGCCAAAAGAGTGATTTCGGAAACAAGAAGAAACATCATATTGAAGAAGAATCCAACAAAAAAGCCAAACAGATGTCCCAACCCGTAAAAACATTTATAAACCACCAAAATCTGACCACAATTAATAAACATTCAATTGAAAAATTTGAAAGACATGTAATTATTGCTCTAAATATATAGCATGTGACATAGACATTTTATAGATACATTTCTAAAAGTTAAATTGTTAATCATTTATTAAAAATGTAATATTTTGTGGTTTAAAGTAAAATTAAAGGAAGACAATGGTGTTACCCTTAATAAGGCACTCATATTGATTTATTGGATCACTGACATAATGAAGAATTGAAGAAAACATATTCATAGACAATAATCTTATTCGGGATTCAAAGAAATATGATGTTGAATTATATTTCATGATATTATATATCATTTTTAGTTGTTTCGTTTAGTGAAAAACAATAATTTGAACAAAATTGCTAATATGAACAATTAGAATTAGTATTTCAAAATGTTTCAAAGCGGGATAACTCTCATATAAAGAAGAAAATATGTACAATATAGTAAAATTCCTTTTTAGTATAGAATAAAGGTATATGATAAATTTCCTGAAATATTTTTACATTTTATATAAAAAAGGATTCATGCATTTGAATACAAATACATCATATATTTAATAGATAGCTTAATAGTTCGAGTTCTCGTGATTCAATATTGGACATATTTCTGAAGATTGATTTGTTAAAGATACATTATAATAAATCATTTTACCTATATGAGCTTGTTGCGTTTTAAAGCTCAAAATCGAGTCTTAATAATGTCATCATTCTTTGTTAAATCATTGTGGGACAATAGTTGATAATGCAAAATCGCATAGTAGAACTTTTTATATATACATTTAGCATATATATTTCATGAAGGAGAATTGTGAAATTATATGAATTACGGCTGAAATAATATTGGATTTTCTAAACTGGTTACGTTATACAAAATTAAATTGTAGAATTTTATAGTTTGCCGAATTTATTGCAAAATGTATTATTTAACTTCAAAAAGAAACACATCTCTTCTCAATATCGTTAGAGTTTACAAACAAATCGATTATTTAATCTAGTAAGCGTCGTAATATGCAGAAGAAATACTATAAGTTATATTTTTATATTCGTATCGTAATAGGAACAATTTGAAGCCAAAATTTTCTAGAATTGAGAGCTGAAATTATTTTTAATCAACTAACAATATTTTTATTAGTGATCATATTCTGAACAATATATTTTCAGTCATAAATTATTATTCTGAAGATGTAAATCTAAATTAAGAATTTGAAAGGCAAATTTTGAATCAACATGTCGAAAAATATACGTACTTGCTTCGAAACTATGAATAGATAACAAATACAGAAAAATAAACTTGTTCCAAGCAGTACGTTGTTGAATTCTCAAAATGGCTGGAATTTAGTGAAACTCGCTAACCTATCATCAGCGAGTCTTTTTCTCTTTTATCATTCAGAATTAATAAATATTTGAAAATTTTTTTGAGAGATATACAATTTTCAAAGCAACCAAAAATAAAAGAACACAAATTTCGGGGTTTTTCTCAATATCAAATAAATTTTAGTTTTGGAAATTACCAGAAAACCATTGGGGAGCACGAATTAAAACTTTTTTAATATGAAGAATTATCTTTTATTGGAAAATAATGTTCCTGCATATCAATAAAACATCTACCAATCATCTGAACATATAATTTGAGACTTGGGTACTCAAACGAGGATGAATTTATCTGAATTACAGACGAATTTAATCTGATTATCACAAATTTGTGAGGTATTCAAATTTCTGCTTTCAAATCTCCTTGAGGTCAATTCAATTTTTCATAGTAAACGGTTATTACCTCATTATGGATCGATTATTGCCAAATGGACACGCCCCATGTGAAGAATGCGGATCTCGTTCTAAGTTCACACAAAAGGAAGATCAGAAGCTAATAAAGCTTGTACAAGAATCTGGGAGGAATCCCAACTGGAGAGAGATTTCCAACATAATGCAAACAAGAACCCCAAGACAATGCAGGGAAAGGTATCAAAATTACCTTTGCCCTCGAATTAACCACAAAGATTTCACCCAGGAAGAGGACGAATTAATTCTCAAACAATTTTCAATTCATGGAAATAAATGGAACGCCATCGCAAAAATGTTTAGAGGAAGGACAGGTAATATGATTCGCAATAGATGGCAGACTTTAATCCGAAAGGCTAACAAAAAGAAGAGCAAATCCGGCCGAAAGAAGCATGAGACAAAGAAATTAATTGAAAAGCCTAAAGTTATAAATATCGTTGAGCCTAAATCTGCAGCTCCATCTCAACCAAACGTATTTGATGCCCTATTTACGATGATGGATTACGATCAAATCTTAAATGATGACCAATTCCTTATGTCATTTGTTGGAAAATCAGCCAATGCATGAGTTCCTACAACCTTTGTTTGAATTGCTCTTTTGGAAAAAATATTTGTTTTGAAAACTAAATTTGATTGTTTGAAGAACTTATTATTTCCTATATTTTTTTATAACTTTTTAAAAGCAAAAATATTTTGTGAGGCTCTCAAATTTGCGGCATTCCCTAAAACCATTAAAATCTAGCTCATTAATTCGTTTTTGACTTCAATATCACAAAATCTTACTTTATTTAATTTTACAAAAATTTGAAAGGCATCGAGTAATACAATTTTTTTCTTTACGAAATTGCATTATAAAGTTGGTTTTCTAACTAACAATACTGCATTTCAAGATTTGTGAACCTATCAAAACTTACCTCTCAATTTCTAAAGAATTTCTCAGATTTATATAAAATTTTATTTTCAAAGCATGAATCAGTTTCTGATTCAATTTCTAAGTTACAAAATATATCACTCGATTTATCGTTCTCACAAATAAAATTCATAAAAAATCTGATGATTTTATAATTATTTATATCATCCAATGCGAAATCAATTAATGCATCATAAAATCAAGAATATTAGAACAAAATATGATCAAAAATCTAATTTTTCAGCGATTGACAAATTATGTTTACAAAACAAATACAGTTGTAACACTATTTAAGATACTACTAGATTAAAATAAGGTGATATAATTGAAGGTGAAAAAAATGATTCCCTCATGGCAATTATTTCCAACATCCGAAAAATTCAACTTTCATTTGATTAGAAATATTAATCCATAAATTATATATTGAAAGAAAGATATCTATCCTGACAATATTCCACAGATCCATATTTCGATTTCAATAATTTTGATAAAATCAGAGCAATCATTATTTTCTCAGCCAACATCATTTCTCATAAATTATATCTATATATTTGGCTCAAACAATCTAAGTTTCCTATACTTTACTACTATTTCGTGAAAATTTATCATAAAATCACATTATTCCATGAATTCAAGTTGTTAATCAGGCAATATATCTCGAAGGATATATGTTTTCAACATAAAAATATAAGTATTTTAGTTTCAATTTTCGATATTTTCTCGAATCAATTCCGAAATCAAAAGAGCACTGATTAAATTCCAAAAAGACAGTAAGACATCAAAAGTTTAGAATATATACGGAGTTATTTAATAAATATAAAGAATTAAAATCTATTACAAAAACAGGAAAGTTCTTTATTTAGGCCAATTAGGAATAATACAATGGCTGAGGTAACCATTGCTTGCGAACTTCATCTTTAAGTTCGAATACGAAACTAATGTTTCTCCATTGAAAAGATCGAGTTTTATTGGGTTTCCGTTGAATACAAACCTGCACATTATTTTTCCATTGACATCCCACATCTCAAAAGCCACATGCGATCCGAAAGGAGGGTTGTATTGGCCTTCATAATCTCCAAGGAGACTCAAAATCGCAAGAAGGGCTGCATCGTGAGAGGAATAGAGTACAAATTTGTAGTCGTTCTGCATTGCGATCTTTTCATCGGCAACTCTGAAGAATTCACGGAACATCGGAGAACCGGCATATCCGTAAAAGTTTCCTTTGTAGTAGACTGGGCCTCTGTTGTATTGGGACATGAACCTGGCGAAATCCAGGAGCATTTCATCGGTAATCCAGGCTTCGTTTGTATGGTTTGTACAGTCAACAATCAAAGTATAAGCAGTGAATTTCTTAACGTTCTTGAAATTCCACTTGATGCCATGGGATTCGAGTATTGTCTTGTATTTGTTTGAGAAACTGTTGAAAATATCTTGCCATTCTTGAGAATTGAAGTATAAATTCGAAGCTTCATCAAGTTCTGGGCACCAATCAACTGATGGATGAACTAAACCTGCAGCATCATTGTCTGTGATGTATTCAATGACTTCGTTTGGTGATTTTGGCTCGAACATGCCATTCATGAAAGAAACACCAGAACGAAGGGTTCTATCTTTCTCAGAACCTCTGAACAAGACATTCCATGGCCAGAAAGCTTCGCCAAGAAGCTTCATTTCATCAACATAGTAACTCTTGTAAAACTTGCCGAGTTCGTATAAATCGTTCATACCATCTGAAAGAAGATCTTCTTTTCTGCATTGTGGTTGATATGGAAGGACACCTGGCTCGTAAACAATGTGGTAAAGTTTCGAATGTTGAACTGGAGCAGGATTTAATCTTGGTGAATATGATGAGTTATCATCACATATCCATTCGCCAGTTTTTTTAATGTCTCCAAATGCTTTTCCTGGAGCTCTTTTTCCATGTCTGATCATTACTTGAGATTGGATGAGTTTTCCATTGGGAACCGGTTCAGCATGTTTTCTTGGAGCTACACATACATCATAAGGTAGTCTTTGAGATTTAGAAAAAGAAAAAATAAGCGAAAGCATCTTTTGTCACTTTTTCTTTTGAAAAAAAGTGAGAATCCGGGCTTCATATTGCAAATACAAGCTCAATCTATGGCATTACTAAAAATGAACAAATTATATTATAGATTTGGAAGAATATTGAATCTGCAAACGATGAAGATCAGTTTTTAGCAAAAAAACAAAAAAATTTGTAATAAATTTTGGTATCACCTTATTATATCATTAATGATGATGGGAACAGGACAAATTTGCCACACGGCACTTTTTTTAAAAAAAAATTAATGGAGCGGAGCAATACTCTGCTGCAGGAACCCCAAGGCTCCCAATCATTACGAAAGGGAGCCTCAGGGCTCCTGAGAATCCATCAGCAGAGGCCTTTTCATTTGGCCTCTGCTGATCAAAGATTCGGCGAAGCCATTCTTCGTCTCAGGAGCCCCAAGGCTCCCAATCATTACGAAAGGGAGCCTCAGGGCTCCTGAGAAACCTCTTTGAGAAGGTTTTCTTAAAGAAAACCTTCTCAAAGATGATTGTCAGCAATCACTCAAAATCTACCAAGAGTTTCAAAGTTTCAAATCTATCTGAAATGAAGCTTTGAATCTCTTGTATATCTAATTGTAGAGGTACCTTTTCAAAATGTCTTCTATTGATTAAATTTAATCAGTAAAAGTCATTTTGAAAAGGTACATCTCTATAATTGCTATTGAGCATTCACTCTTGGAACCTTGGAGCTCTTGTGTAGTGCATGAAAACTCCAAGATTCTAGCATAAAACATATATCATAGACATAATTTCTTCAAATATAATTTAAGGTTATTTTTAAAAAAATTAGAAAAGCGTAATTTAAGGTTATTGAAAAAGTGACGCTTGACAAATTTGTCCCGCACTCAATGATGATTCGTAAAGGTGAAGTTTCAAGTTTCATATTGAACAAGAAAGGAGATATCAATCCATAAACATATGAAATATAGCCTGCTTAGGATTACATATATAAAGCATATAGTTTTATTGCGAAATAATAAGTCTAATTATCGTAATTAGAAATTTGACTGTTTTGCCATTCAATTTTTAGATTTTTGACAAAAATGTTTCAGATTCTGTTTTCTTTAGCTGCATCAAAATTCATACCTTACAATATTACAGAGTTCCTAGTGTATGACTCATACACAGATAGACAGTTTAGTTCAGTAATTAAACGCCACAACCGCGTAGTTGCAATGATTATAAATATGTCTGCAACAGGTACTGAATCTTTCATTGATGAATTCTCAAAACTTTCAGCAATATTTACACATGACGTAAAATTTTGCGTTTTAACTACTCAAAAAGCCAAAAAAATTTATAAAAAATATGCGCAATTCCTTCCTCAGCTTTCATTCTTCACTGATGGCGAAATTGCATACTCAATACCATATCCAACTACAGAAATGGAGCTTATTTACGCTGTTGGCATATATTTGCGTAAAAATACTCCAATTTTCGATGATTCCAAGAAGCTTCTCAATGCGATACCAGATACACAGTTTACAATAATATCACCTACATCTATTCTTGAAGATTCGCAAGCGCTTATCAATGAAATACAAGAAAATGTTGGATCTTTTAACGTTTTCGGAGCAACAGAAAATGTTTTCAAGGATTTAGGCTTTTCTGATGATAAAGTTTGCTTGTATCGTAGAAAAGATAAGAAAATATTACAAATAGATAATATTTCAAATATTTTGGAGTTTACAGAGACATCCTTCTATCCTAAAGTAGATAAACATATGGCAACAATGTTCCAAGATTTCGTTGGCCTCCTTTGTGTCAATGAAACAGCCACAGAAGAACAAAAAAATTTCATTTCTGATTTAGGAGACAAATACAGAGAAATTACATTTGGAATTATCAAGGATAGTGAGTTAGAAAACATCCATGCCATGACTAATGGTAAAACAAGGCAATTACCGTGCTTCATTTTGTATAATTGGTTTGATTACATTTTCTTCCCAGTCCAGTACAATTTAAGTCACGTAGAAGGACTTATTAATAGAGTTTTAGATGGCCAAGTTGAGCTAAACTTCCCTTCTGAGTCAATTCCGAAAAATCAAAGTAAATTATTAGCGACAAAAGTCGTTGGAATGACATACGAGTCATTTGTTGAGGATCCCAATTATGATACAGTCATTTTCTACATCGGAGAAGATGGAACTGGCATAGATTTCGCAAATAAATTTGCGAAATTCCTTAACAACAACAATGTTTCAGGAATTAAGGTCGGATATATATTAACAGGCCTTAATTCATGCCCGAGATTGTTCCCAAGGCTTGTTTTCGAGCCACAAGTCAATTTCTTCCCTAAAATCAATAAAACTGAGAACCATACACATTTCGGATCACTAACACCTTATGGGTTACTTGAAGGATTGAAGAGAGTCTCATCTGAGAACATTTCATTAAATAATTCAATTTTCAGTTATTCACAAGAGATCAAATATCTCATAGACTTGGTCCAGGAATGGCCAGATCTCCTTCAAGATGATCAGCCATTCGCAGAAGAATTTATGCTCCATAGAGGTAGACAGCTCGGCCTCGGTGATGATTTAGATACAATTATTACTTCTCTCGAAGACTCTGTTGATAATGTGATCGCCGGATTTGATGATTCAAAGTTTGTTTTAAAAGAAATCGAAGATGATGACTATATGAAAGTAATTAAAGGACAACAAGTAAGTGATGAAGAAAAGAAGGAACACAACCACAAGAAACATCATCACAGACATCATTAAAACCATTAATGCAAAATTTTATTTTGATGATTAATAAATACATTATGTTTAAATCGAGATTTATTATTTTTAGTAACAGTTGACATCGAATTTGAAGGTAAGTGAAAATACTAAATTCAAATTCAAACAAAATGCACGAAACAAATTCAAATTTGAGGACATTTGAGTGAGTATATTAAAGACACCAAGGAACTATCAATTCCATCTCGTCAAGATCAAATTCAGAGCAATGAATTAGTCGAGGAATTTAACATATCCTATAATTCTTAAAATCAAGGATGAAATCAAACAAGCAGGCTATTGAATTTATATATATCCTAATACGATCATTTTTTATTGGGGAATTTCAGATTTATGAAAATTTCTTTCTTTATCCATGAATTCCAAAATCTATAGGATGGTCATACAGACTAGAGTTCAATTCCAAATAGATTTTCTTCGGAACTCCTTTTTGTAAACGATTTTCACCCAATGACCTCACGACCAAAACCGCAATTCAAATTTTTTTTGGGAGGATCTTGAGAATTTAGCTAAAGGTAACAAAGCAAAAACATTGAAATTAATTTTATTTCAATGTGTTTTTTTGAAAATTCAATTGAAATTTCTATCGGAGTGAATATTTGAATAAGAAATACTTCTTTAGTAGACATGCACTGTAGTACGAGTCCTGAACAAATAATTCTAAAATACAGATCCATTTAATAAAAATATTTTAGTCAGTTTGGCGTCATCTGCCAAGATTTTGTGGCAGATCTATCTGAATTGCCAAAATTTAATTTCGATGACCTTTCACCTTGTTCCGCTCCAAAGCTTACCCTCCAGCAAAGTCAAACGCCTAAGAACTTGTCCCACCTTGCCTAATTTCTATGTATCGATTGAAGGATGGAGATTTGATAAGACATTACGTACCGCGCTCTACATCATAGAATTGGGCGTTCTATATGATGATGGCGTAATGATTTACCGTAGCGAGCATAGATATTCGGAGCTCTACAAGCTGCATAAAGCTCTTTCAAAATCAAATGACATCTACTCAGCTTTTCCACCTAAGAAGCTTTTTGGATCCAAAGATGTTGAGTTTATCAGTGAACGATACCAGCAGCTTTGGTCCTACTTTGACAAAGTTTCAGAAATTCGACATATTGACCAGGTTCCAGAGTTTAACAGTTGCTTTAAATTCTCTGAACTTAAGCATAAATGGCACTGTGCTTCACATGTCATTAATCTAACCCATTGATTACCATATCCAATTTATATTTTTAATTTTTATTTTTGTTTGTAAATAGTATTTTTGATTTAATTTTACTTTTTATTCATTAATCTTACCGATTTGAGACAAGTTAGACGGAATGTCTTATTTTATTCATAATTTTCGATCCGATTCAGAAATATGTTTAAGGTAAAGGTATTTAACAAGGAATATTGAATATAAACAAGTATTGGAGGTAAAAGGATATCAAATTCATGTACATTTTCATTAATAATTGTCACTCGATATTTGATCTAAACAGAAACGAGGATGAAAACATGTTTATTTTTGTATATTTATCTTATCGTATATTATTTTAGATAATCGATTGATAAAACCCCAGAAAATTATACAAAAAAATTTATAATGGAAAAACATGATTATAAATGATTGTAAATCGCATATATATTCAAAACACTATTTAATATCTCTCTTATAAATGATAAAAAAATCACAAATAAAAATTATTTCTTAGAAAAATCTTGAATTATCCGATGAAGATCAATAAGGGTTAAACAGACTGCGAATTCTGCAAATCCAATCGAATAATCGATAATATCCCTTGATAGCATATCTTTTAAGTCTTCTATCTGTTCCGAATTGTCTAATTCAGCAAACATAGCTTCCCCTGTCTCTGAAGAAACTCCAGAATTATCTTCGGACTGTAAAATTCTTGATCCGACCTTTTTTCCCTTCTTATAAATTACAAATCGGATTAATAAGAAAGAAGTATAGATAATGTAGCTAAAACCATAATAAACGGTTCTCTTAGAGTCATCGTAAACACTCGGAAAATACGTTGGATCTTTTGTAAATACCAAATAAAAAATTCCGCCGATAAATAACAAAGCAAAGATAATAAGTATGATTAAAATAGGTAATTCTTCTACTAAGAAGCTTAAAAATAAACCGTAGCATACAGAAAAAGTTGCCTGGATGATAGAAGATTTTCCGTAAATTATATCTGAGTAATAGAAGAATGAAATGTATAAAACGGATAATATCTTGAGAAATGCTTTGTTGAGGAATGCAACGATTTTGGCTTTGATTGATGAATGAAGTTCGAATTCATCTTCTGACTTAGTTTTAACGTTAACGTTAAATAGATATAACCCTAACGCCCCAGCAAAAACCACATTGAAAGATGGACATTGATAATTGGATCCGAAAGGAACTAAAGTACCATGAATCGCTTCAACGCACGGAGACTCTGATTTTATCAATCTAGCTAATAATGGAGTAGAACTCACACAAAAACATGATAATACGAGAAAATTTAATATGCTAGCACAAATTTTTTGATATAATTCTTGCATTTTTCGCTGTTTTCCGGAAGCATGAACAAAGAATATAAAGGGTAGGATAAGGAAAACGAATACCATTGCGTTACCGAGGAAGTAAAATGAAATCCAGTTAAGTAACGATTGTGCAAATCCATCTACGAATTTATTTGTTATAACTATATTGCATTTGGTGAATACATTGTCACTAAATTGCGATGCTGATCGTTTTTCAATTTCTATCTGTTCATGAATTGTAAAATTCGTAGGTTTATTCATGATTTTTTTTGACAAAAAAATTGTTTTTGTCAGATTCAATAAATCATTACATCAGATTTATTTTTTACTTTTCAAATGAAGTGTCTAGATTGTGATCTTCATATTTTGTCGTTGTATTATGACATGAATCTTCAGTTTTGCTGATAAATAAGTATTTTGCAACAATACATGAATATTATTTGCTGTTTTCTTTATTAATCGCTTATACATGAAATGTGTAATTTCATGAACCTCAGTTATATAGATTATCCCATTGTTAGTGGTTGGGAATCAAACGATTATCATAATATTCATGATAAGAGTATGAACATATTACTAAAGTCAAGACATTACCATTAACTGTAGCAATACTTATGCAAAACATGGAGGTTTTTAGCCTTTAGAACCATAAATGCGTCTCATAACTGACTTCGTTATCTTTTCAATGGTTTCTCACGTTATGATATTGAACTCATTGGAACAGTCAGGGTAACCATTACCTTTTGAAAAATTTGGGAGCATATAAGTCTCTCATCTCTCCCTCGTTCATACCTTGAAGATTCATATCATGACTAATACCATTAAAGTCAAAAATATTCCAATGGGAACGACCAACCATTGTTTTAAAAGTTTAACCTTCAATTGACTGATGGTAAACAAATTCCATGCATCTCTGTCCGCCAATTTCTGTTAATATTTTTGCTGTCCATTCATATCCAAATCCATTCCCCATACCGTTAACTTTGAGGAATTGCCGTTAGAATAGCTGTTCTTAAAATGAGGCTTTTCAACCTTTGAGAGCATAAACTCTTTTTATAACTTTCTGCATTTTTATGTTTGACCTCCTGAGCCATCATTGACATTTAAATTTTTTATAGCTTCCACCCCTTTGTTTCTCGTTCCTCGCTTCTTCCCTTAGCTCTTTTGTTCAGTAGTCTACATCTTTATAACACAGCTCCATGTCTCAGTGAATTCAACAATTTTTTTCATTCGTTAGCTTTTACATTCAAACCCTTGTCGAGTATATTGTTTCCATTTCTATAACATATAAAAGGTTTTTTTATCTATATGAAAATGAGAAGCAAATCCATCTTAGTGGTGCCGTTAATGTTTCCAATTGAACCAACCATCAAATTTGACTCACGAACGACAAACAATATTGTCAAAAGAATTATAGTTCGGAGTGTTTTGAAAGAAAAAGAACCAGAAGCTGAAATCGCGTGAAATTTTAAACTCAGCTTCACGCTAAACGCTACATCAGATGTTTAAGTTAGAGTATCCACCAACTGGACCAAAAATTCTTTCAAGAGAAGCCAACGACAAACCCTTCAAATGTTTTCAATACAAAATCCTTTCGATTAACGTAGACATTACCTCTCCAGTTATACCAAATCATTTACTCATGACGATAAGAAGCTTTTGACAAAATTCTTATAAGCAAGAAACCAAAATAATTTCTAAACAAAAGAGGACCTTGAAAATGTTATCTCACGAATAACAGGGAAACAATGTGTATTGACTATCTCGACCCCTGAAATCCGAATGCTGTGGTCAAACGCCACCATTCATAGAAATAGGTAACATCCGCATCATTTGAAACCACCAACGGAACTACAGGAGTGAGTTTTTAAGTATAAATTATCGAATGAATATACAAAACTTTCAACAGAAATAAAATTATGTTTGAAATATGTTTTGTAAATTAAAAGAATTTGTAACTGATCTATCCAAAACTTCTTCAACGTATCGAACTCACATTCAGTAATGCAAACCTAATCTATTGACTTGGTGCAGTTTTCACTAACCAATATAGCGCCAGTTTTTTAATGTCTCCAAATGCTTTTCCTGGAGCTCTTTTCCATGTCTGATCATTACTTGAGATTGGATGAGTTTTCCATTGGGAACCGGTTCAGCATGTTTTCTTGGAGCTACACATACATCATAAGGTAGTCTTTGAGATTTAGAAAAAAAAAAATAAGCGAAAGCATCTTTTGTCACTTTTTCTTTTGAAAAAAAGTGAGAATCCGGGCTTCATATTGCAAATACAAGCTCAATCTATGGCATTACTAAAAATGAACAAATTATATTATAGATTTGGAAGAATATTGAATCTGCAAACGATGAAGATCAGTTTTTAGCAAAAAAACAAAAAAATTTGTAATAAATTTTGGTATCACCTTATTATATCATTAATGATGATGGGAACAGGACAAATTTGCCACACGGCACTTTTTTTAAAAAAAAATTAATGGAGCGAGCACAATACTCTGCTGCAGGAACCCCAAGGCTCCCAATCATTACGAAAGGGAGCCTCAGGGCTCCTGAGAATCCATCAGCAGAGGCCTTTTCATTTGGCCTCTGCTGATCAAAGATTCGGCGAAGCCATTCTTCGTCTCAGGAGCCCCAAGGCTCCCAATCATTACGAAAGGGAGCTCAGGGCTCCTGAGAAACCTCTTTGAGAAGGTTTTTTAAAGAAAACCTTCTCAAAGATGATTGTCAGCAATCACTCAAAATCTACCAAGAGTTTCAAAGTTTCAAATCTATCTGAAATGAAGCTTTGAATCTCTTGTATATCTAATGTAGAGGTACCTTTTCAAAATGTCTTCTATTGATTAATTTAATCAGTAAAAGTCATTTTGAAAAGGTACATCTCTATAATTGCTATTGAGCATTCACTCTTGGAACCTTGGAGCTCTTGTGTAGTGCATGAAAACTCCAAGATTCTAGCATAAAACATATATCATAGACATAATTTCTTCAAATATAATTTAAGGTTATTTTTAAAAAAATTAGAAAAGCGTAATTTAAGGTTATTGAAAAAGTGACGCTTGACAAATTTGTCCCGCACTCAATGATGATTCGTAAAGGTGAAGTTTCAAGTTTCATATTGAACAAGAAAGGAGATATCAATCCATAAACATATGAAATATAGCCTGCTTAGGATTACATATATAAAGCATATAGTTTTATTGCGAAATAATAAGTCTAATTTCGTAATTAGAAATTTGACTGTTTTGCCATTCAATTTTTAGATTTTTGACAAAAATGTTTCAGATTCTGTTTTCTTTAGCTGCATCAAAATTCATACCTTACAATATTACAGAGTTCCTAGTGTATGACTCATACACAGATAGACAGTTTAGTTCAGTAATTAAACGCCACAACCGCGTAGTTGCAATGATTATAAATATGTCTGCAACAGGTACTGAATCTTTCATTGATGAATTCTCAAAACTTTCAGCAATATTTACACATGACGTAAAATTTTGCGTTTTAACTACTCAAAAAGCCAAAAAAATTTATAAAAAATATGCGCAATTCCTTCCTCAGCTTTCATTCTTCACTGATGGCGAAATTGCATACTCAATACCATATCCAACTACAGAAATGGAGCTTATTTACGCTGTTGGCATATATTTGCGTAAAAATACTCCAATTTTCGATGATTCCAAGAAGCTTCTCAATGCGATACCAGATACACAGTTTACAATAATATCACCTACATCTATTCTTGAAGATTCGCAAGCGCTTATCAATGAAATACAAGAAAATGTTGGATCTTTTAACGTTTTCGGAGCAACAGAAAATGTTTTCAAGGATTTAGGCTTTTCTGATGATAAAGTTTGCTTGTATCGTAGAAAAGATAAGAAAATATTACAAATAGATAATATTTCAAATATTTTGGAGTTTACAGAGACATCCTTCTATCCTAAAGTAGATAAACATATGGCAACAATGTTCCAAGATTTCGTTGGCCTCCTTTGTGTCAATGAAACAGCCACAGAAGAACAAAAAAATTTCATTTCTGATTTAGGAGACAAATACAGAGAAATTACATTTGGAATTATCAAGGATAGTGAGTTAGAAAACATCCATGCCATGACTAATGGTAAAACAAGGCAATTACCGTGCTTCATTTTGTATAATTGGTTTGATTACATTTTCTTCCCAGTCCAGTACAATTTAAGTCACGTAGAAGGACTTATTAATAGAGTTTTAGATGGCCAAGTTGAGCTAAACTTCCCTTCTGAGTCAATTCCGAAAAATCAAAGTAAATTATTAGCGACAAAAGTCGTTGGAATGACATACGAGTCATTTGTTGAGGATCCCAATTATGATACAGTCATTTTCTACATCGGAGAAGATGGAACTGGCATAGATTTCGCAAATAAATTTGCGAAATTCCTTAACAACAACAATGTTTCAGGAATTAAGGTCGGATATATATTAACAGGCCTTAATTCATGCCCGGAATTGTTCCAAGGCTTGTTTTCGAGCCACAAGTCAATTTCTTCCCTAAAATCAATAAAACTGAGAACCATACACATTTCGGATCACTAACACCTTATGGGTTACTTGAAGGATTGAAGAGAGTCTCATCTGAGAACATTTCATTAAATAATTCAATTTTCAGTTATTCACAAGAGATCAAATATCTCATAGACTTTGGTCAGGAATGGCCAGATCTCCTTCAAGATGATCAGCCATTCGCAGAAGAATTTATGCTCCATAGAGGTAGACAGCTCGGCTCGGTGATGATTTAGATACAATTATTACTTCTCTCGAAGACTCTGTTGATAATGTGATCGCCGGATTTGATGATTCAAAGTTTGTTTTAAAAGAAATCGAAGATGATGACTATATGAAAGTAATTAAAGGACAACAAGTAAGTGATGAAGAAAAGAAGGAACACAACCACAAGAAACATCATCACAGACATCATTAAAACCATTAATGCAAAATTTTATTTTGATGATTAATAAATACATTATGTTTAAATCGAGATTTATTATTTTTAGTACAGTTGACATCGAATTTGAAGGTAAGTGAAAATACTAAATTCAAATTCAAACAAAATGCACGAAACAAATTCAATTTGAGGACATTTGAGTGAGTATATTAAAGACACCAAGGAACTATCAATTCCATCTCGTCAAGATCAAATTCAGAGCAATGAATTAGTCGAGGAATTTAACATATCCTATAATTCTTAAAATCAAGGATGAAATCAAAACAGCAGGCTATTGAATTTATATATATCCTAATACGATCATTTTTTATTGGGGAATTTCAGATTTATGAAAATTTCTTTCTTTATCCATGAATTCCAAAATCTATAGGATGGTCATACAGACTAGAGTTCAATTCCAAATAGATTTTCTTCGGAACTCCTTTTTGTAAACGATTTTCACCCAATGACCTCACGACCAAAACCGCAATTCAAATTTTTTTTGGAGGATCTTGAGAATTTAGCTAAAGGTAACAAAGCAAAAACATTGAAATTAATTTTATTTCAATGTGTTTTTGAAAATTCAATTGAAATTTCTATCGGAGTGAATATTTGAATAAGAAATACTTCTTTAGTAGACATGCACTGTAGTACGAGTCCTGAACAAATAATTCTAAAATACAGATCCATTTAATAAAAATATTTTAGTCAGTTTGGCGTCATCTGCCAAGATTTTGTGGCAGATCTATCTGAATTGCCAAATTTAATTTCGATGACCTTTCACCTTGTTCCGCTCCAAAGCTTACCCTCCAGCAAAGTCAAACGCCTAAGAACTTGTCCCACCTTGCCTAATTTCTATGTATCGATTGAAGGATGGAGATTTGATAAGACATTACGTACCGCGCTCTACATCATAGAATTGGGCGTTCTATATGATGATGGCGTAATGATTTACCGTAGCGAGCATAGATATTCGGAGCTCTACAAGCTGCATAAAGCTCTTTCAAAATCAAATGACATCTACTCAGCTTTTCCACCTAAGAAGCTTTTTGGATCCAAGAATGTTGAGTTTATCAGTGAACGATACCAGCAGCTTTGGTCCTACTTTGACAAAGTTTCAGAAATTCGACATATTGACCAGGTTCCAGAGTTTAACAGTTGCTTTAAATTCTCTGAACTTAAGCATAAATGGCACTGTGCTTACAATGTCATTAATCTAACCCATTGATTACCATATCCAATTTATATTTTTAATTTTTATTTTTGTTTGTAAATAGTATTTTTGATTTATTTTACTTTTTATTCATTAATCTTACCGATTTGGACAAGTTGACGGAATGTCTTATTTTATTCATAATTTTCGATCCGATTCAGAAATATGTTTAAGGTAAAGGTATTTAACAAGGAATATTGAATATAAACAAGTATTGGAGGTAAAAGGATATCAAATTCATGTACATTTTCATTAATAATTGTCACTCGATATTTGATCTAAACAGAAACGAGGATGAAAACATGTTTATTTTTGTATATTTATCTTATCGTATATTATTTTAGATAATCGATTGATAAAACCCCAGAAAATTATACAAAAAAATTTATAATGGAAAAACATGATTATAAATGATTGTAAATCGCATATATATTCAAAACACTATTTAATATCTCTCTTATAAATGATAAAAAAATCACAAATAAAAATTATTTCTTAGAAAAATCTTGAATTATCCGATGAAGATCAATAAGGGTTAAACAGACTGCGAATTCTGCAAATCCAATCGAATAATCGATAATATCCCTTGATAGCATATCTTTTAAGTCTTCTATCTGTTCCGAATTGTCTAATTCAGCAAACATAGCTTCCCCTGTCTCTGAAGAAACTCCAGAATTATCTTCGGACTGTAAAATTCTTGATCCGACCTTTTTTCCCTTCTTATAATTACAAATCGGATTAATAAGAAAGAAGTATAGATAATGTAGCTAAAACCAATATAAACGGTTCTCTAGAGTCATCGTAAACACTCGGAAAATACGTTGGATCTTTTGTAAATACCAAATAAAAAATTCCGCCGATAAATAACAAAGCAAAGATAATAAGTATGATTAAAATAGGTAATTTCTCTACTAAGAAGCTTAAAAATAAACCGTAGCATACAGAAAAAGTTGCCTGGATGATAGAAGATTTTCCGTAAATTATATCTGAGTAATAGAAGAATGAAATGTATAAAACGGATAATATCTTGAGAAATGCTTTGTTGAGGAATGCAACGATTTTGGCTTTGATTGAATGAATGAAGTTCGAATTCATCTTCTGACTTAGTTTTAACGTTAACGTTAAATAGATATAACCTAACGCCCAGCAAAAACCACATTGAAAGATGGACATTGATAATTGGATCCGAAAGGAACTAAAGTACCATGAATCGCTTCAACGCACGGAGACTCTGATTTTATCAATCTAGCTAATAATGGAGTAGAACTCACACAAAAACATGATAATACGAGAAAATTTAATATGCTAGCACAAATTTTTTGATATAATTCTTGCATTTTTCGCTGTTTTCCGGAAGCATGAACAAAGAATATAAAGGGTAGGATAAGGAAAACGAATACCATTGCGTTACCGAGGAAGTAAAATGAAATCCAGTTAAGTAACGATTGTGCAAATCCATCTACGAATTTATTTGTTATAACTATATTGCATTTGGTGAATACATTGTCACTAAATTGCGATGCTGATCGTTTTTCAATTTCTATCTGTTCATGAATTGTAAAATTCGTAGGTTTATTCATGATTTTTTTTGACAAAAAAATTGTTTTTGTCAGATTCAATAAATCATTACATCAGATTATTTTTTACTTTTCAAATGAAGTGTCTAGATTGTGATCTTCATATTTTGTCGTTGTATTATGACATGAATCTTCAGTTTTGCTGATAAATAAGTATTTTGCAACAATACATGAATATTATTTGCTGTTTTCTTTATTAATCGCTTATACATGAAATGTGTAATTTCATGAACCTCAGTTATATAGATTATCCCATTGTTAGTGGTTGGGAATCAAACGATTATCATAATATTCATGATAAGAGTATGAGATGGAAAC